CTTCCTTCGGCATCTCCCTTCTCCTTCCTCTATCATCTTCCTTCTCTTTCCTTCGCCATCTCCTTCCTTCGTCATCTCCCTTCTCCTTCCTTTATCATCTCCCTTCTCCTTCCTTCTTCATCTCCCTTCTCCTTCCTTCTTCATCTCCCTTCTCTTTCCTTCGTCATCTCCCTTCTCCTTCCTTCGTCATCTCCATTCTCCTTCCTTCTTCATCTCCCTTCTCCTTCCTTCGTCATCTCCCTTCTCCTTCCTTCGTCATCTCCCTTCTCCTTCCTTCGTCATCTCCCTTCTCCTTCCTTCGTCATCTCCCTTCTCCTTCCTTCTTCATCTCCCTTCTCCTTCCTTCGTCATCTCCCTTCTCCTTCCTTCTTCATCTCCCTTCTCCTTCCTTCGTCATCTCCCTTCTCCTTCCTTCGGCATCTCCCTTCTCCTTCCTTCGGCATCTCCCTTCTCCTTCCTTTGTCATCTCCCTTCTTCCTTCTTCATCTCCCTTCTCCTTCCTCCATCATCTTCCTTCTCCTTCCTTCGCCATCTCCTTCCTTCGCCATCTCCTTCCTTCGTCATCTCCTTCCTTCTTCATCTCCCTTCTCCTTCCTCCGTCATCTCCCCCTCACTTCCTCGCCTTGCTGCAGTCTCTCTCCCACCACCACCAAATACCCTTCATTCCATTTAATGGGCGTTTCCCTGGCTTCTCTTCTCATCTTCTTCGCGTTCCCTCGCTCCTCTTTCTACCCCCCCCCCTCCCCTTCTTCTTTCCCTTCACCCCATCCCCGTACCACTCCCGCCCTACCCCCTCCCCACCCAGTCCCTTACCTTCCTCCCTAAATCTCACCTCTGTCCTACTTCCCCTTTACCTCTCTTGCCTCTTTCCCAACGATCTTCCCTCCCCTTCTCGCTATCTCCCCCCCCCCACCGCTCTCCTACCTCCCCCCTTCATCTGAACTCCTTCCCCGCTTTCCCTTCACCCTCCCTTTCCCTCCCCCGTTACCTTCACTACCCTTCGTTTCAACCCCTTACCTTCACTCCCTCCTTACCTCAACCCTTTTACATCTACTCTTCCCTTACCTCACCCTACCCATTTTTTTTTTTTTTTTTTTTTTGCCTTTACCTTCCCCTTTCCCTCACTCTCCCTTTGTCTCACAAACTTCTCTCCCCCTCCCTCCCCCCAACATCCCCAACCAATCACACACGTCTCCTAGCGAACCCCTTACCCCCCCCCTCCCCCTCCTTCCCTCCCTTTCCCTTCCAATCCCCCAACGAGTCATCAGACAAGTCACGTGACACGGGCTCGTAAATCGCGAGGTGACACGACCTAACAATCGGAGCGCCAGTATTGACTCGTTATAAATAATGATGTATGAGCGATTCCTCTGTTGCCTGCAGATGCGCCCGTGTTTGCTCCTTCTTTGATAAATGCTGGTCTTTTTTTTCTTCTCTTTTTTTTTAGGGGGTGGGAGTGGAGGGGGGTATGTATTCATTGTCTGCTTCTGTAAGGGTGTGTTTGCGAGTGTGAGGGTGGGTGTTTGCGAGCTTGTGTGTCTGATTGTGTGTGTGTATGTGTGTGTGTGTGTGTGTGTGTGTGTGTGTGTGTGTGTGTGTGTGTGTGTGTGTGTGTGTGTGTGTGTGTGTGTGTGTGTGTGTGTGTCTGATTGTGTGTGTGTGTGTGTCTGATTGTGTGTGTGTGTGTGTCTGATTGTGTGTGTGTGTATGTGTGTGTGCGTGTAAGTGTATGTGTGTGTGTATGCGTGTGTGTGTAAGTGTGTGTGTGTGTGTGTGTGTGTCTGATTGTCTGTGTGTGTCTGATTGTCTGTGTGTGTGTTTCTGTGCAAACTTTCTGTATGTTTCAAGTATACACATATATCAGTTAATTGCATATACTTTTGAGTAGTAAAAAATGTACCTAAAGTAGAAAAACACACAATGCAAACTAAATCTTTTGAAAATGAGTCTGCTGTCTAGTTTATGTATTGTGGGTTTTTCTACCATAGTATCAACATGATAAACACCCAGAGTTTAAAGCCGGAGCCAACCCCCCTTTCCCCTCACAGCCACCTAAAAACCATAATTACGTGAAGACATTCTAGTGTCCTTGTTCTTCCCGAGGGCACGAGCAGAAACGCTATAGGACACTCCCCTATCCCTATGTCCTTCTTAAGGAGAGGCAATCACCATTCCTATTTAGGATACAAGATCTCACGTATTCGGCTGTTCTTGAGGCACCAAGTACAAATACCAATGATAATAAGACTGTATGTATTCTCTTGAAAATAATCATATTTCCTTAGATTTCGTAGAAAACCATATATATATATATACATATCTCTTTTATTTTTCTCAAGATAAAAGAAAATCATGCTATGCTCCTCTTAAAGTGCCTTTCCTCACTTCACCTCGTGCATATTCGCCATAAACAGAAGAAGGAAGACGGGCACAAAAACACACAGAAATAATGATGGAGAGATGGTCCTGATGAATAAATGAAATCGCCTCGACAGATATG